GAGAGAGAGGGAGAGATAGAGAGGGAGAGAGGGGGAGAGAGAGAGAGGGAGAGAGGATGGGGAGAAAAACCGGCTGCTCCACAGATTGCCAGACTACCCCCAGCTTGTCGAGTTGCAAAATAGTTACTATTATTACCGTCTATTCCAGGTTCGCCGTCGTAACTTCTAAACGTCTCCGCATCGCCCGAAATCAGCTTGAAAAGAAAAAACGATAGTTAATATTCGAATTGAACAGTTATTAAACTATCTAAGTTTCGATCCTTCCAAAGAAGAAATCAAGAAAGCCTTGGTAGAGCGATGGCAGGGTTCATGGGACAGCTCTGAAACAGGCAGGTATTTTCATCGTCTGGAGCCAAAGGTAAAAGTAAGCAGCGTTCGCAGCCTCACCAACCGCAGAACGGAAACCAAGCTCAACCAGATAAGAACTGGACATACTAAACTGAAAGACCACATGTTCAAGATCGGGGCAAGCGATAGTCCCCTCTTTGACTGTGGCCTTGCCAATGAGACCGTGGACCACAAGATCTTCCATTGCTCACGACTCAGCAGGGAGAAGATGACCGACACGATCGATCAGGGGTATGTGAAGACCAACACCAACCCAAGCCATCAGACAATTGACATTGCCACCCTTACTGGGGAAAACAAGAATCTAACACCAGAGATGGATGCCACCATCAAACAGGCCCTCTCCAGATTCCTGTCCGAGTCCCTCCCAGTAATATAGCCACAGACACTCCGTTGTTAACCAAAAAACTAATTACTATGAGGAAACACTGGTAGCTAACAATACAAAGCATGTATACATTGTGACCATGACCTCGTGTAGCAGGAGGATTAATGAATAACAACAACAACAACAACAACAACAACAACAACAACAACAACAACAACAATCTAAGGGGGAAAGCAGGGGAGGCAGATAAGGGTGAGGATGTCGATTTGGGTGGGGGTGTAGAAGAACATCAATAATGCAAAGATATATGTGTGTAAGTGGGACAACTTCGACAAGGCAGAGAAGGCAGAGAAAGGGGCAGTGTTGAACCTTCTCTACTTACCCTCCCCCCCCTTCCCCCATCCACCACTGACTAACGTCTCTATTCTTCGACCTCCCACAGACCCCACTTTCTCCCCACTCTACTTTGCATAGTAGGAAAAGGTATGCTAGTTATTTATGTGTGTGTAAGGTGCAGAAAATATATTTTGCCCGTCTGTTACCAGTGCCACTGCCTTGTTCTTCTAGTTCTAACCCCATGCCTGTCTCTCGTTTCAAGTTGTATAAGTTAGAAACAACAGATTCTCTAGTCACTGCATTTAATATGAATGTAATCATGTGGTCAGAGAGCTAAGGTTAATACTAATAGAGGCTGGTGCGGGCAGGTAGTAACTAAGTAAGGGCTAAGGTAAGGGGGTCAGGGTGAAGGTGCGTGGTTATGACTTATGTCGGTGTCTTACCTTGTAAATCCCAACAATAATAAATGACAAAAACACTAAAAGGAAGAACACGACGAAAGATCTAAATCCTAACTTCATGATTCAATAACTCTGAAACATTCCATATAGTATATACGTGCAAAACGAAATTCACAACATGTATAACAAAAAAAGGTTTGCCCGGAAATTTACACCGGGGAACGATCGGCCCGCCACCTCTTGTCGCATATTGTAAAGCGTTTTCCATTGAGGTTTTTCTATTTGGGCATGTTAGCTTTAACTTTCATCTACTATCCTACTTCTAGTATATCTGTCTATCTACATTTTTGTCTATTTTGCATGAAATATAGACATCTGATCTATATTCTATGAATATGTGTACGTAAATATTTTTTACCAATCCCTGCGGCGATTGGCTGATTTGCGTGCGTGGTGGTATCCCGGTAGCGCTGCAGTTCTTCCAGGTCAAGGCAAGCGGTCAAGGTAGTCTTCGTGGTGCATAAATTTACGTCAATCAATATATATATGGATCAGGAAAACATTTCCTCAATTAATATGGAGTGATCGGAACTTTGTCGTGTACATGAAGTTGTGCGGGAGCTTAGGTTTGTGTAGTTATTTCACACGAAAACGTTTTTCACGAGTAAGATGATTCCTTTGTAATGTCCATTCATTGACTGCATAGGAATGTCATTCCTCTAGTTGCCATGATATAGCTCGAGTACTATAGCTAGATACAATAATGTAACCCAAACCCAAGAGGATAGGGTTACAAAGTCTCCCTATTTCACACACACACATATATCGACGTATAATAGCATAACTACGGATACCCAAGCACGATAATGGCAGAAAAAAATAACGAGATAGTGGCAACGAGCTCTACCTGATGCGAGGATAGCCCCTGCGTACAGTAACTGCCGCAGTTCTGTGTGCTGGCTAATACGTTTAGATTACAATAATTAAACCGCAAACCCAAGAGGATAGGTCAAGTCTCGGCCTATCCTTTCTGGCGGAGGAAATGCCCAGACGTATATCACTCGGTGGTGCCGATTTTGCCCTGGCTGCGTATTGTCAAGATACTAGAACTTCCAAACTGGTTGTATTCTCACACGAACCTTTCTCACCCTATTCGTGAACTTACTATTACTCGCAAGTTCAGCCTCGAGGAATGTAACAAGCGTCGTAAATGAGCAACCTGTCTAGCAGACCACTGAAAATTCAATGTGCACAAGCGGCGGAATATACCGATGCGCCCATATTCTGTTATGACCAGCTGTGACCGTAGCCATTTCAAATGCGCGCCATCAGCGACACACGAGCCCGGCAAACTCAGCGCCTCCGATTGTCCGGTGAACGCCCAGCTTTCCAAACGCAAGGTACTCGACAGTCAATCAGAAATGGCGCTTCAGTAATAATCGCAGTCGCTCGAGTGAACACCAATTTTGTAACAGGTTAATTAGTTTAATACAGAGTATTGCGATACTACTAGTACGTTCCAGAATAGCGAGAAAAGTCGTCTTGCATCAGTCAATATGAAACCCAGTTGTGGAACGTCAGTATCTGAAAACCGCACCAGCAAGACCGTGCCCCGACACGTGATTCACCTCGCGTGCGCATTCCTCGCAGAAAGAGG